TATAGTAATTATTTCTATCGAATTTGTAAGAATCACAAATCACAAGTTTAAATAAAAAAATGTATAATACAAGATGTACTTTTCATAATTACCTATTTTTCTAATAAAGTTAACTCATAATATAAACTTCTGTGGTAACATGGACAACGTGGACAAATTCTAGTTTAACTCTGTCAGAATATTACCACTACAAGTAAAATAAATTTTATGTATTGTTAATGATTCACTTGCCAAAGATTTGTTGATTTACAATGGTTTAAATAGTTTACAGAAAACTATCTTTTATAAACAATAGAATACTTTTGTCATTAACTTTTGCAATAATACCTTAAAGGGCAATTGACAATTACCTGCAGACAAGAAAAGTACATTGACAAAGAAATATCAACAAAACAAGAATAACCGAAATTGAACTAGCTTCGAAGAGCTTATTAATAGACCAAGAGGCATACAAATAATTATAATTATTATGTTCCAGTTACCTTTATATGCCCCAGGGAAATGTAGACTTTAACTGAGCTTTAAGGTACTTGAATGAGACTTCAGTTGTAAATACATCATCTGTTGAATACAAACGGCAAATTTGAAATATGTGTTTATTTCTACATATTGCTAAGACAGTCGCGTAATTATAATTAATACTTGAAAGGTCTCTGCGCGTCTCTGCGCTTCAGCTTTGGAGATCTTCCTATCTTCTCAAATTTTCCAAATTCATTAGAAATAAACTTTTAACGAGGAGTTTACAGAATGTATAAATATTGAGACTTCATTAGAAACGGACATATAAATTTTATTAATGTGCTCTTATTACAGTCACTTGCACATATCATGACTTTCGTAAAAAGTATCAAATCAGAGACATTTTTAAGAATGATAAAGCAAATTGAAAATTCGCATAAGCGTCATTTCCGCAAAGTCACACCCATTTCAATAAGGAACTCCAGATATATTTAACCGGTATTAATAATAGATTATGAGAATACGTAGAATGCTTAAACGATTACACTGACTCACATATATTCGCTGAAAACGATGAAACATATTGAGGTTTTGTGACTTTATGTATAGATAGAATTGTAGCTAACTACAATTATTTTTACGATATATTGGCAGTTAGTTGTAGTTTGCATATTATTGGAACTCAGTATTTATCTTACACATGATATGTGTATAAAGTGACGAGAGTTTAAAATAGTTAATATAAGTTGATTTAAATCAAACTTAGCCTGTTTGCCATGGGCTAGGCTTGTTCTAACTATTGAGTATTTACAGACAGCCTTTGCTCTTGCATGGTTTCGATAAGCATTCAGTTTATGTATACTGTCACACATCAAACAATACTACTAAATTTGTTAATAATTGACAAACGAGCAGACGGTTGTTATGTGATTACCCCTGTCTATGGACATCTGTAACGCATTGTTGCAAACCTATAAAAGGCCCGGTTACCTCACTCACCAGACGAAACGCGAAAGTATTATATTTCCCCTCCAGGCCGGTCTTCTGTGAGATCACGGTACTTCCCCGGTGAGCTTGCCCATTCGTGCAACAGCAGGTGTTTCGTGACCTTGTCACAGTTAAAAGCCATATATTGTATTTTGTGATAATTACTTACTAACGATTAACCATAAATATCATCAAGCGCTTTATTCTACTGTATAAGGTGTAACTTTTACAAATACTTTAGGCATTGCGCCATTAAAAAGGGACAACACACACAACAAAGGTGGAACTAAAGCTGAGTTATAGGTATTTATCTAAAGTGTGTTGGGTTCAATAATAATAATCGCATGTCTTTTATTATATAAATGGACGAGCGACCGTAAGCTAGTTTGTAAAGCTTATTAATGGTTTCTCAAGCAACATCCGCCCGACGATAAGATTGCATACGCAAAAAGCTTCAAGGCAAATAATCTTTGTTTGCTGACATATATGCTTTGTTCAATGAATGAATATAAAATATTAAAAACTGAGTACAAGCTAAAGAAAACGCATGCTAAAACACAAGAGATGACGTTATAATGTACACAATACCTTAGATACAAATCAAGCCATTCGTCTCATTATAGCTAACAAAAAAACTATATTCAGCAAAAAAGTGATAGACCTAGTGACGATTCATTTCACAAGAATGAATGAAGTCAAAAGGGACAATTCCTTTTGACGGAATATGATGTGGAAAGAATATGAAATTTTTTTGGAAGATGCAGAAAACCTGTTATCAAAAATAGAATTAAAGATTAATCTACTTTTATTATTTGTGTTCTATTCCTTACATTTCAGTTTCCAGGATTGCGTAGCCGTATTATTTGAATGAAATATTAATTAAATGCCATATCATTTGTAAATTTGCTTTTATCAAAAATCATCTCAATAATTAATTCCGCTTAAATATGTTAATGATTTCTTGTTAAACATCATGTAATACTTGTGTCGGTTAAACAAACTCGAGATGAATGTAACATTGTTCGCATTCTATATTTGAATAACACAGACAACAATTATCATTATTACAACTATCCATCGATATTCTGATAAATCACTTTATTTCTTCAAAATATTCCCAATGGTCTGAAATATATTTTGTTTATATAATTTCAATGTGATAATAACTCGAAAAGAGGATGCATTTGAAGCTAACTCAGAATTGCCGCCCATGGACAGTTATAACATCAAATATTGTAAGATTAATATGTCGTTCTTCTCCCTTCAAACTTGCCCTTTATGCAGCTAGAGCTCTTCTGCAGTAATACGGCACGATTAAATAGTGTTTACTAGTGATTTAAACTTGCGTCACAAGTGGTATGAAAAAAAGTCTATTGCAAGGACTCAACAATGTACAGTGGATTCTCACTGATTAATGTATTGAATCGCAAATTAACTAAAAAAGATTTCCTCTTGCAGATTCCTCTTTGTATAAAATCATTGTTTCACATTATACTGGCGTTTTAGCGCTAGATCCACCATTTACGCCATTTTCATATTGCCACTGTGTACGTGAGTTACTTTTCTACATCAAAAACGCCACCGGTTAACAACATTATACCCGATTATCGATTAAGACAAATTTTGACATTTTAACACTAGCTTATCTTTAATCAAAATCGGATTGAAAAATTTACTTAATCTTATCCACTTTTAATAGAATTTGTTTAGTTCGAAAGGCAATGGTTTCAAGCCTTGCCACCGTTCAAAGATTGACGGTGGTAGGGCCACGCATCAGCCTCGACTGTTGCACGAATGGGCAGGCCCGTCCGGGTAAGTACCACGACCTCACAGAAGACCAGCGTAAAGTGGAAGTATGACAGATACTTTCGCGTTTCGTCTGGTGAGTGAGGTAGCCGGAGCCCAATTTTAAAAAGATTGTCAACGCATCTGTAACCCTCGGGTGTGGCAGATGTCCATGGGCGGCGGTATTCACTTAACATCAGGTGAACCGTCTACTCGTTTGACAACTTTTCGCATAAAAAAAAAGAAAAAAAAGACATTAATTAACATGTGGCAAAGTGATTTTTAAAGAAGAAATTGCGAAAAGCAGAAATCTCATTGTTTTCACTCACGGAAGTCCGAGCCGGCAACTTCCTCATAAAGCCAACTTCTCATCGTCACTGACTCAATTATTAAGAATAGTAATCCTAATACAATTTTATTTAAAACAAATTAAATTATTCATGAAGCACAATTATTGCGATTAATAAATAATATTACATTTTCCTGTAAGGCATGTGGAATATCTAACGGTTCATGATACAACATGTCTTCGGTGAATGATTGATAAAGCTACTACTTGTGACAGGCCGTTGTGAGAATCAGGTATTGATTCACGGTTTCATTCGTATACTATTAACCGGTAAATACATTTAAAGCATTTGTCAATGTTATTTGACTTTTATTACGTGCCGTTTATTAATATATAGTCTTAAATGATTACGGAAAATATGTTAAAATCTGGTTGCAAGTGGTTGTCAAACGTTCAATAAAATATCATATGTTGAAAAACAAACATTTTAACGAGAACTGTCCAGATTTTCTTATGAAGAAAAAAATCATGTAGTACCTATTACTCCTTCACGTGGTTTGTGGCATCAAATTTAATGATTTGTAATATATAATATATGTTTATAAATATAATACAATAAGGTGTTACAGTGTGAATAGAATATCTACCAATTAGTAATTATGATTATGATTTCAGACGTGTAAATTAAGTAAGTAATTAAAAGTAAGACTTAATAAATTGCCTGCTCGTATAGATACAGTAAATAGAATATTTAAATATCTATATCGTCAACTGGTTTATATTTGTGTTATCTCCAACGTAGCTATGTATGGTTTCCCCGATTACATACATATAACACATTAATACATGTAAGTTCTATTTAAACACATTGATTCCCAGTGTATTTTAATTTATGAAGCAAATGCATTTGCACTCAGTTCATATATTTCATATATTTCCATTAGTTACCGTACATATAAATACGAAACTTCTTATCATATAAAGTAAAATATTTCTTAGCTAAAAAGTCAAATCATAGTTTCTACAACATCGAGTTGGTTACATCAACTTAAGTACCTACTTACATACCGGTAAATATCTACGTGTACCAACAGTTTCAACTTGTTTCGATCATACCATGTAACTTTCTAATATAATATTAAACACATCAATATGCATACCAATACACGGATCGGTTAAACCGTAAAATTTTTTAATTGCATAAATTAACATCATAATTATCCAACGTGCCTAAAAATAAAATATTCCCAAACAAATCGACTCACCTTAACCAACCCGTCGTTTCCCACCACTTGCGGCAATCGAAAATATTAACTTCACTCTTGCACTGTCGAAAAGGCCCGTTAAGCGAGTAATACGAAAAATAGCACCTTTATAATTAATGTAAACAGAGCTCGGTGTGGCTGAACTCGCGTGCGGCAGTCCTCTCGGGATCATTTATTTTTTTTTAAATAAATTTTAATCCGACGCCGGACTGCTAGTGTCGAGTGGTTCGCGCGGGCTGCGATCGATCGCGGTACGAGCGCGTTGAGCCGGGCAGGCTGGCGGCGGCGAGGCGGCGCGTGCACTGAGTGGCGTCGCCGGCCGCGGGCCGCCGCGACTCTGCCCCGCGCGTGCGCCGCCTGACCAGTTCCCAACTTCCCAGTGCGCCGCTCGCCAATCTCGCCAACCTGCAGCCGCGCCACCGTTGCATTGCACCAGTGCACGCGGCCTTCCATCGCCGTCGCCGCTGGACGTTCTCGCACGCGGTCTCGAAGACCATTCTAACCTTTTTGTTCCGACGTGTACTTTACTGTTAGCCATCAAAGTAAAAGCTATCAAAGCTTTCACAGCTTCGGCGGAAGAGTTCCGCAGGCAGACGACCCGCGGGATCAGGAGAACAATTTTGCTGTTGCACCACCACGTCAGTCGTCACAATGTTGCACTCCGCAACACCCTGCTAACGAAAGATGGAAAATCGACTAACAAGGTCTAACCATGGGGCACAGAGTACTAGGTGGTAATGCTGCAGTTGCCACGGCTCAACAAATTTTATAGAAAATGTGATGAACTTTTAATTTACCACTTACTTTAGAACTAAATAACGGCGATCAAAATAAGGATACGTAACTAGAGATAGGTACGATTAATAAAAAAAAATCTGAACATATCTTCTACCCGGCGAAGATTTACCGTACATATTGCCTTTTTTGACATTTTTTCTCAAAAAAAAAAATATTAGTTCTGCAATTAAATTAAAATCGTTAGAACTTAGGAAGTTAAATTATATACAAAGCAATATAAATAATAATAACTGTTTTAATGGACTAAAGTAAATTCAAATGAAAGTTATATTTATTAATTTTCTTTGGTTTTAACTTTCTGGAACGTTTTAACTAAAATTTATGAAATTGGGGTTACTGTACTTACTTTTCTGTACTAAGCCCACCTCTGCATTGACAGTGTTTTCAATCCAAAATTTGAAGATAAATGATTATCGTAACAACGATAATTTTTATGAGCCGTGATAGCTAATGAGTCATGATAGCTAATGAGGCATAACAATTCAACGTCCAGGCGCTCGATTTTAATGTAGCATAGGTACTGGAGTCACCCGAGTTCAACTCCCGTTGCCATCACCAATGAAATTGTTAATTGCAATTTTAAGTGCTGAATTATCACAGTGGCAGACTACGCTCTCATACTCTCTATACAGAGAGGCGTTTTTCCAGTTTTATATATTCATAAACATCAAATAAACGTCAACACGGTTAGTTTTGTTGCCTCTCACTAAATTCACAACACTACACAGACCGCCCTAATATTGAGACAAGGTATTTTCAAAGAAAAATTATTTAAAAAATCTTAACGAAATAATCTTAAACCATCAAGACCATTTTACCGTCAATTCCCATTATCGATCAGATGATTTTGTATAAGTCATTGCTATTAAAAACTCCAAAGCTAATATAACTATGACATTAACTACAACTTTGTTTTAGAGCATTAATTGAAATCGGACCGCACAAATTGTTCGCTATATCTGTTTCGCCATTAATAAATAATTCGTCCTCAGATAAAGTGCCTACCGCATTTGCTTATACGGACCGATTGCTTTTCTTATGGGCCACACATACACCAACATCGTTAACTCCTCAAGCAATCATTTTTTTTAACAGTCAATAGAAATATTACTTTATTTCATCTACACTTTGTAATCATACAAAATACCGATAAAGTATACGGATTACGCAATAATTTGTTTAATATAGCAACAAATCGTTATTCGATGTCTGTGTAAGAAATATCCTGCGCCACAGGGCTTATTTTTTATTACGGAAGACTTTTTTTTCAATAACGAAATAAGTTTCATAATAAAAACAATTGTAATGTGCTGAAACGGAATCTTAAAACAATACTGAAAAAATAAATATCGATTAATAAATTAGCTATAATTTGATTAGAAACGGTTATCCACATAGTGAATAATAATATAAATAAGGATATAACTTGATCCTGGATATAAAAATCAATGGTGAAGTAAAAGTTTTGCGTTAATAATTCTAGATAACTATAAAAGCGACCCGACCTTATTTTTAGTCTGGGTTTGGTTTATTTCTTTTAAGAATTAAGCAAACAAAAACGAAATTAATTAATGTACGTCCTTTTTTAGGGTTCCGTACCCAAATTGTAAAACGGGACCCTATTACTAACTTACTAAGAGTCCATTGTCTGTCTGTCAATCAGTCTGTTTATCAGGCTGTATCTCGTGAACAGTGATAGTTAGACAGTTGAATTTTCTTAGATGATGTTTTTTTTTTTTTTAAATATTTAAGTGGGGCTCCCATACAAAAGACATAATTTTTTTTATATATTTATAGATAATGGTACGAAACCCTTCGTGCGCGAGTCCTTCTCGCACTTAGCTAGTTTTTACTCTGTCCGGTTAACTATATTTTTCATAAAACAAAATGAGGCCAAGATGATGCTCGTTATGTCTTTGATCCTAAATCATTGAATGTACTTCAAAGCCATTGCTTTACAATATCATATATATATTAAAAAAATGTTTGAACTCAGTAGGAAATTATAAACAGCCATAATATGATCGCGTCGTTTTGAAACAAGACAAACATTTTAGCACGTACTAACGACATTCTCAATTAATGCTGTTCACGCTTCCGTTCCCATCGTTTCGCGTTATTTAGAATTTATACACAAATTCAATAGTTAAATGAACGGTGCGGTAATTTGAAAGGGCGGCTGTGAATAAGACTGGCGATATATAGCCGGATTGCACCAACGGCAGCATAACGGAATGCATGAGCGCGCACCAGGCGAACAAAGGTTGCGGTTTGCAATTCACACTTGATGCCTTGTAAGACGCAGATCTTTATCTGACATTATCGATCGACGTGATTAACTGTACTAAAGTGATAATGGCACCGTAATAACAGACACTGGCGCTACGCAACGCACTCGCTAGATAAATTATTCGCGGAACTAATTAGCTAGCCGTGTTTATTTACTGATTGGATGCGTTGTATTATCCTAATTCAGTTATGATTTATAGGTTAACAGATATATCACTATATATATTAAGTAATATGCAATATGTTTATGTCGTAGTTCTTTATTAATGTACTCTTGACTGTATTACATAACTGTAATTCATGGAACCAATTTATTTAATTACGTTAAAACTTTATATTTATATTTGAAAAACTGTCTGAATAAACAGCTGTTTTCGAGTCTACTTTATTCCTTTAAAACATTCAACTTTCAATCATTTTCAATCATAAAATTATGTTACACTTATCTATTTTTCTAATAGTCAGACCAATAGCAAACACGCAACGTCACTCCACTAACCTCATTTATAAGTCTAGAAAGACCCTTTTCGAGTCGATCTTTTATGGCTTTCAGTGAAACAAAAAAATCGCATACTAGAATGTTGACAGGTAGAAGAACATAACAAAAAAGTGGCCAGGAAAAAAATGAGAGTATTGAATCTGTTTCATTGCATAGTCCCATTTTTATGTTCATAAGTTTATTTTAGCTAACTTAGCGCTTGACTTGTATTTTTAATCTAGAATTGTTAGCGATAAAAACAGAATGGTTCTCGTGTTATTCTATACAGGAAATGATTTTCCCTTGCACACCCACACATTCTGGTTACTGTAAATTGTGGAAGATTTAATGCATGTTCCATTCAATATTTCCTTACCGTTGCGTATAAGTTATTATAAATGATTATCTTGGTAATGTTGTTTTAGTTGATGAATTTTATAATTATGTTACCACTTTATTGAGCATCCAGCACGTAATTTACCCTTTTATTATTACTAGTTTTGCTACAAATGCTTTGTGTATGCCACTGTTATACTTACTGGAATAGTTTCGCGGTTTCTTTGCTTCCGAATAAAGGCATCCCGTGTTCAAGAGCAATACCTACTTGACACTTCCTGTCCCAACTACTCAGACGCCTTTCTGGCTTCGATCCAAATCCGCGACAGCATTCTGAATTTTCCCTACAAAAGTGGAGTCGTAACTTTTTCTAGCAGCATGACTAACCCATACTACCATTCAATTGACGAATGCCCGCATAGTTGTGGACAAACTTATGTTTGCAATAAATAGTTTACGCTGACCATTTGCCAGATAGGACAGAGTCGTTTGGCAAAGAAAATCTTAGTTTGTGATGTGGTTTTTAAGTGATATTAAATTACACATAACAATGTCAACGCGTCGAAACAAGGACGATTTAACTGCTGCCCTAGATCTGTCGGTCAATCGGGCTAATGTTAGCGTTTGACCTAAATGACTTGGGGAAACATAAATCTGAGCCTACGATATACCTTTTGAATCCCTTTCGTTGTAAATTATATTGATTATATGACATTGTTATCATAAATATATTGATTATAGGATACATTATATTACAACGCTAAGTATAATAAGAATTTATATAACAGTTTAAGATAAAAAGTAATACAGCCATAATAGCTTCAGTGCGTGTTATGATTAAAATGACAATGGTTTCTTGATGTGGCCATTTTACAATCCCAAAAAGTAACTTCACTTTGTGTGAAATAAAAGTTGGTACACTTGTATTTCCTTTCTAGCATATAAAATATGTAAACTAAAATTAATAATTTAATAAAAACTCATACGCATTGTGTAAAATGGTCGAAATTGAATTTCAAGTGTAGACGTATCAATGTCAACAATGCTTTGAATATTTAAAGAGTTTTAGCGCCTGAGTTTTAGCGGTATATCTAGGTACGTCATTAGAATGCACAACGAGACAATTATATGGCATGGCAAACGCTTGTTCGTTCGCAGGTATCTACGAGCTAGGTATGTAATTTCTCGCGTTCGACGTGATTGGCACGACGCGGCGCCAACTCCGCTGGCTCTCATAAAAGACGTTTATGCTAATACGTCACAGACTAACAAGAACAACTACCACTGAACGCGACATTTCTCATCTACATAGCAGCTTATAAATTATTAAATAAATTCTAATTGCAGCTATCACGCTTGTCGATCAGTACGTACAGTCAGCAAGAACGGCTAGTGAAACAATTCCTCGATAAACGAGTCATGTATGCGTTTTATTTCTTTTAGAGTGACAAATAATTATATTAAAACTTATTTATGGTTAAATTTTGTACTTTAAAATTAAAATTTGTAGGAAAATGGACTAAAAGGCTTTCTCCGCAAGGGGAATCCAACCTACGTCTTCCGGATTCGCGCCCAGGCTGATCAGAAACGGCTGAT